GCAGAAATGAAATTTTATGGGATGAAATACAACTGGAGAGGGAATATAAGCCGGCTGATCAGTTCTCAAAGAGCATGTCGTCATTATTTTCGCATCAAGGGAAAATCCAATAAAGATTGATTCATTTAAACTATTTGATAATTGGATGATTATAAAGCAAGGGAAAGCAACTACCTAACCCTGGTTCTCTCCCATTCAACAAGTAAACTTGCATTAGCAAGTGAAACCGTCCTGAGTTATTTACCACTACCACAGTTTGCTCTTTTATTTAAAATGCAAACAATAGATAAGGAAGGATATCTTCTATTTTATGTTTCTTGGGTAAATTCTATTGAAAACAGTGGAAAGCAGTTAGGGAAAATATTTGGTTTGTAATACTTAACTTGAAATGATCAAGTTACATATTTTCCACACATTTATGTTCTATAATAAGGAACATAATCATAATAAGGAACATAATAAGGAACATAAGGGACATGGTGGCTCACTGGCTAGGACACTGAGCTTGTCAATCGAAAGGTCGGCAGTTCAGCGGTTCGAATCCCTAGTGCCATGTAACGGAGTGAGCTCCATTACTTGTCCCAGCTTCTGCCAACCTAGCAGTTCGAAAGCACGTAAAAAATGCAAGTAGAAAAATAGGGACCACTTTTGGTGGGAAGGTAACAGCATTCTGTGCGCCTTTGGCGTTTAGTCATGCCGGCCACATGACCATGGAGATGTCTTCGGACAGTGCTGGCTTTTCAGTTTTGAAACGGAGATGAGCCCCGCTCCCTAGAGTCGGAAACGACTAACACATATGTGTGAGGGGAACCTTTATCTTGTTTATGTTCCTTAGTTACACCGCATGCCACATAAAAAAACAGTGATAGGTGGGTTTGTGGGGGATATTATTCAGTTAAGCAGTTTATTTTCTGCATAGTCAATCAATGTCTGCATGGTAATTTCACAGGAATTTCAAATGAAATGACTGAGACATCCACTAAAAAGAGAACACTGTTCTTATAATCACCATAAGAGATATATAAAAATTTGTGCATTATAATTAAAGCAGCTGCTTTTTCCAATATTTCTAGCATCTAGTATTTAAGATCTGGTAGAACTCTATACTGTACATTAGGCTTAAAAATAGACAGCCAATATTTATAATGAATAGATGTAAAAAGAAAATAACATGAAGCTTTATTTGCATTTTGCACAAAGGGAAGAAAAGCAAAACAAAGACTTTTCTTAAACAAGTTATTTTTTAGTTGGGAAAAATTGATAGCACTCTTTGAGGAACTAAAGAAATATTCCTAAGGCTACCTATCACCTTGTGGAATGACAAATTAAAAGGGTTATTCTAATAAGAGAACTAATGCTAATGAAGCTGAGGGGGTAAGATATTTGAATCTTAATTAATGCACAGCATATAAAGCAGTGGAAGAAATAAACATATATTCTGTTACAAATTTGGACATATTAAATCTATATAATGCTAAAACTTTCATATCTGTTTGTAAGTTTTAGTTGGGCTAAAGGCTGCATCATAGGGTAACAATTTTTGAACCAAGGTACTTCAGATGGAATAATTTACAGAATGCATTCCTACTCTGTGATCCATTACTCTCAGGACATTGAAATTTGGAAAACCTATGGCCATGCTTCCATAGTCAGCCACATGATTTTCATTTCTAAGACTCCCTAGCAGCTTTGCACAAGGAAAATCTGGGAAGCTGGGAGAAAGTCAGAAGTCCTAGGCTGGCGGATAGGTAAGTAGTTGCTGCAGAGTGCAGAGATAGTGATGGGTGCATGGAGTTGCAGGGGAGTTGCTGAGTCCATTGGAGACAATGTCCAGGGGTATGTGACAAGCACTGTATGGATTACACCAGGATGTGTGAGAGATATTTCATGGATTTATGAATTTATGTGGAAATGTGAGAGTTGTGCAAGGGTGTGAAGGAAGTGCAGTGAGGGTCAGGGAGGGTGAAGGAGTGGTAGGTAAATATTTCTAAAAAGATAACCCAATAGGTCATAGATTATCTAAATTCCTTCATAAATAGCAATAGCATTTAAACTTATGTACTATTTTACAGCCCTCATTAGATTGTTTACAGAATCAGCATTTTGCCCCTACAAACCTGGGTCCTCATTTTACTGACCTCAGAAGGATGGAAGGCTGAATCAACCTTGAGCCGGTCAGAATCAAACTTATGGCAGTCGGTAGAATTAGCCTACAATACTGTATTCTAACCACTGTACCACTACGCTATGGGCAAACATATATTTGATCTTATAGCAAAATAATGTGTAAAAATGCATATATGTCTGTTTTATTACAGTACTAACATTCTGGTAGAAGTGAGATACAAGTTTAATAAATTAATCCTTAAGCATAAGAAAATAGCGATATCTCAGACTGCTGGAAATAACTTCTGGATTTCCTTCTTCAGCTGCATCCTTGGTGTTTATTCTTGGTTCACAATAATCTTAGCTTTCTATGACATCCAAATTGAGGACAGAAAAGCTTAATTATTTTAAGCATAGTTTGTTCCATGTTCAAATTAGAAATTCAGGGTGCCCCAAGATACTTTGAAGTCTCAGATAAAGAACAAGTTGACTTTTCTCCATTCCATATACAGAAACTAACTGGAATAGATGAGCCAAGTGGCCATAAATGCTAAGTCTTGTACTTCATATGATTATAGAGCTGGAATCAATGATTACTCTGGATGGATATGAAGATGTCATTTTTAACCATTGGTCCCATCTATTCAAAAGCTAGATGAACACCTTAGTCATAAGTAATAAAATGGGAAAAGAAAAGAAAGTTTGCTTAAATAGACCCTTGTTCCAAAATACGAAATTTGTAAAGGGAAGCATATTTTCTAAAGAATTAAGCAAGGTAAAAGGTTCAAAGACTGAGGATGAGGTAGAGACTTTTTTCACCTCACTAATACCATAATTTTATTTATTTATTTATTTATTTTATTTATTTTTATATGCCGCCCTTCTCCGGAGACTCAGGGCGGCTTACAATGAGTTAAGCAATAGCCTTCATACTTTTGTATATTTTATACAAAGTCAGCTTATTGCCCCCACAAACCGGGTCCTCATTTTACCCACCTTAGAAAGGATGGAAGGCTGAGTCGACCTTGAGCCTGGTGAGAATTGAACTCGCAGTAATTGCAGGCAGCTGGATGTTAAATGCTGCCTTAGTAGGAGGCATTAGCCTCCTACGCCACTCAGGCTCCTGGAACTCAAGCTCATGTCATACAACTTCCATGACATAAGTGAATGTGTTGTGAAAGAGCTAAATTTCTCCAAGGTGGGGTGTTCCTGGAATAAAAGGGCTTATTTTGAAAAACATATTGCAAAGGACGTATTATAAACTGAGATCAACAAAAGTAAAGCCAAGGGTGTTGATTTGAAGATCCTCTAACTGAATTTCTTGCTGCACCCAAAAGCATTTATTAGCAGAGTTGTTTCACAACAACAAAGAAGTCCAGTCTCTGGTAAACCTGATAATCTTTCCTGAAAGCAGATGGAGCATCAGATGGCAGATTAACAGCCAACCCCAATCAGCAGAAAGAGTAGTTATACATATATTAGCACACAACTGAATATGCAATACCTTATATACTGCATTGACATGTGCTCTTTGCCAGTCTTTGAATTAACTATTTTTCAAAAGGAGGCAAAATTGGATAAATTTGCTTCTTCTATCTATTAGTTACATTTTCAGACATACAAACAAGGGTGTGAATGTGGTTGGGGGCTTATTAAAGCTATTTTTGAAAAAGATGTTTTATAACATGGAGGGAGCACATACAAACCAGCTACATTCAAACTACAACTTTTCCAATTGCCAGCCTGGAAAATATGCTTTATGCTTAAATATGTTTTAATGGTCCAAGCAAACTCCCACACACTATAAAACCATTTTTGAAGGCTTGGATAACCCTTATATTTGTTAACCAGTTAATGCAAACTCTAAAATTTAAAAAGTGGAAATATTTGAAAACTGCTGAAATTAACATTTGTATTAATATTAGTATTATTATAACATATACAGTATATGGCTGCCCAATCAATACCATATGACTATGAGTGGCCATTCATTCACTAATAAATACATATATACATATCAAATACATATATACGTATCAAAAACACAAATATAAGGAATATTTTTATTTGTACACTAGTAGATAACCTGGCGTTGCCTGGGTATTTATTTATCGCAATCCTGTATTAGACAGGAAGAGCAACTTCACCCTGAGCCCTGATTTTGGCGAGAATTAAATTAGTTGAAAATGTTTTCTCTATGTCCCTAGAAGTGTCAAGTAAACTGATAGCACCTTGTTGTTTTAGTAGCTGATCCATGATTATTTGGTATGCTTTTTTCTGATCTTGATATAGAAGTGGCTTCTTTTCCGCTATATATGCACTAAACTGTTCTACGCTGTAGTTCTTTTTTCGTATGTAATCTGCGTGAAGTATGTTATGTTGGTCTCGTAGTGGTTCAGGACGAGTTGCAGTAATGTTTTATTGATCATGGCCACATACTTGTCCTCAGGAATAATCAAAACCTTGTTGAAAATGTCCTGGATTTAATCTTGGATTTCCCCCTTACCAGAGGAAGCCCCCTTGTGGAGTACTGTGAAGCCGTTACCATGGCAACTCCTGTTGCCAACTCCCAGCCATTACCTCCTCCTACTGTGCTGTACAGTAGAAGCCCAAGGGCTGTTAGGGGTGTCTTACTCCCACAGTATTTGTTTACAGGGAGTAAGTCATCTGTGTATCAAGTTTGTTTGAAAGTGCTTGAGGCATTCCAGAGTTATGCTGGAACACAGACAGCCATTTATATATAGATAGATTTAAGTAATACTCATTCTCTATATCTTCCTTCATGGGTCTAAACCCAATCACAGTTCCATAATAGGAATTCAGCCAATCTCTTTGGAGTAAAAAAAATACAAACAATATGATTGCCCGAGAGTGATAAAACATAATTACAGTACCTTTGCAGGTAAAGCATTTGATGTGAAAATGCTTGGCCTGGACTCGAAGTACTTCTCCTTTACACTGCTCCCCACATTTGTGGCAATGGATGACAGGCTTCTCTGTGGGATGATGAGGCTCCTGAGGATGGGCCACTGGAAAAACAAAATTTGTATATTACATGTACACATTTTTCTACTTCTCATAAAAGATTACCAAAAGAAGACATGTTTTAAAAAACAACAAATATTCTATAATGTTTATTGGACAGCTATAGAAACCACATTGTATGATATTCCAAAGTCATTCCCTCATACCAGACCAGACCATAACATCCTATCAATTGGGTTTGAAAAATTACATTTTCTGTGACATTAAACCAAACTGTACATAAATTTCAATCTAATTTTAAAAGCCTCTGCATGAGATTACTTCAGAACTAGGCGAAAAGAGGGAGAGGGAGGCATAGCTAGAAAGGGCTGCCAATAACTGTTGTCTGTAGTACAACTCTGCTTCTGGCTTCTACAGTGCCCGTTCAGAGAGCAGCCACAAAAAGCTCATGTTTTATGCTTTAGTACAGGCTTGTCCAACCCAGGGCCCATATGCAATCCTGGACAGCTGGTAATGTGGCCCCACAAGATCGTAAAGTTTTAACGTTATTATGTGATTTATATACATTAACTGTATTATTTATTTTATAAACAATAAATAAACAATTGTTCTTCACTCAAGGCAACCCCGGCCAAAAGGTTGGACACTATCCTCTAGCACATCCTAGTACCGTGATGGCGAACTTATGACCCGCATGCCACAGGTGGCACGTGGAGCCATATTGTTGGCCACATGAGCGTTGCCCTAGCTCAGCTCCAGCTTACATGTGCGCACCAGCCAGATGATTTTGAGGCCTTCTGGGCCCACTAGAAGTCGGCAAATGGGCCATTTCTAGCCTCCAGAAGGCCTCAGCGGGGTGGGGAAGGCCGTTTTCACCGTCTCGGGGAGAGCAAAAAACAGGCCTTCAGCCCCACAGGAAGTTGGCAAACGGGCCATTTTGGGCCTCCGGAGGGTCTCTGGGGGGATGGGTAAGGCCGTTTTCGCCCTCCTCAGGCTCCAAGAAAGCCCCTAAAGCCTGGGAGGGAAAAACAGGCCTACTGGGCCCACTGTGCTATCGCGTGCCAAAAGCGGGGGAAGTGCGTGGGGGGTCCTGTGTGCATGCGTGGCGGGGCAGGACACATTGAATTAGGGGTGTGGGCATATGTGCATGCTACCCCCCACACTCCCCCCGCTTTTGACACACGACACCAAAAAGGTTAGCCATCACTGTCCTAGTATCTTCCAAGTCTTTAGCAGAGAAATCACATTATGTTGACCAAGGCATTATAAATAGTTCTTAAGAGTATTATAATTCTGAATCTTCATAAAACACTTTGCTATGAGAGTGTTTAAATTGCTCCTTTTACTTCAATGGATAAATAATTTCAAATACTAGAAAAATTAAAATATGTTTCCACAAGAGATAGTTTCAAAAGGAACAAGTCAAGATTTTTTGTTCAGCAATAACCATGACAAAAACTTTGGATTTATCAGCAATGTCCACTGGAAGGAATCATGGAAAACAACTTAAATGTCCTATGAAATCTGCTTTTTTTTTTTTTTTTTTTTTTTGCCAATTTACAGGAATTCTAGAAAATTCTAATTCAGTATGCCTGTGAATAATGAATGGTTCTATTTTTTAAAGGAAGTTCATGTTTATGGAATCTGCTTTAAAGCACTTTATACAGAACAAGAAAAAAAATAATGCTTTATTTTTTTAAACAAATGACTAGAACCTAATTGCTAGGAATACAAAATGATTTCCCTCTTTTCATCTTCCAACTAGTAGTTTTTAGATTCTATTTACAGCCCTCTGTTATTTAATCCAAGCACTGAAGACTCAAAGGAATGCCTACTAATATTTTAATTAGATAATTATTTCTAAAAAAAGACTTTGGTGTAACATAGCCTTCAAGGAGCTGTCCTATCTCTAAGTAAAAAAGTTCTATTTCTGAAACTTAAGGACTGGGTTATTGGCTTCCCCCCAAAATATGATGAGACTAACTAGTATCAGTGGTGACACATTATTTATACAGTACAAAAGAGTAAATGGGTGTATAAAAGGACAAGCCCAAGCTATTAAAAAATAATTTTATTCACTTAGAATCCATTAACATGAAAACTCCAATGTGTAGAACTTGCAGCACAAGTGCCTGATATCAGTTGCTTAGATTCTGCTATAATGTTGATGTCCTTTAGTAACATATTTTTGGAATTATTCCTACCATGCTGTAACAGTCTAAGGATTACAATTGCACAAGTATGACTCTAATCATAAATAAAACATGAGTTCTGAAGCATTAAAGGAAGCAGGGTGTACTGTATGACCCCAGAATGTAGGTAGTAGCTTCATCTTCAAAAGATGCTCATTAAAATCAGCCAGGGCCAGGTTGCCTTATCACAACCACAGTTACAAATGACGTCAGGTGCTAACACTGTAAAGAGGAAATTCTGGTTTTCTGCTGATAATCTCAATGAACTCAGTAACCATATACAAAGTTCATAACAGGTACCTATACCTGCAAAGGTAGCATGTGTGGTGCTTCGAGCCACAGACTTATTCCTTTTCATATAAAAAATACCCAAACCAGGAAAGGTATTTTATTTATTTATTCTCTGCCTTTCATTCCAGAGCTCAGGGCAGCATTCATAGCACTATCTTGTCCTATTTTAATCCACAACTTCCATGGCTAAGATATCCCTGTTCTCCATCCAACCTTATAAGAAATCCCCAACAATAGTGGTATAAAACTACTGCAAAGTAATAACAAAACATATACAAAACCATGCGTCTTTCATGACCCTCAAAAATCTGCTCATAAATTGGCCACTTTTCCCTCAGGAAAGGACTGGCCCTATTATTTCACTTGATCTCTCTCACTTTTCCAATATAACTGCAAAGGTGGATAAATAGTAGATAATACATTACTTAGCTATAAGAATGGGAAAGTTATGCTAGACTAGACCAATGAAATTAAATGGCCACATTTCTAGAAACCATTATGTGAATAAACAAACAGCATATTTTCCTTCTGTATCATCCTATTAGAAAATATTAACATCTCCCATTTCTTCTCCTCCTTCTTCTCCTTCTCCTCCTCCTCCATCTCCATCAATAAAATAATTCAGATCAGTCAGACTCAGAATTAACCTTAACTTTCCCACCTGAATAAACAGTACAAAAAAGAATATTTACTCCACTGATACTTGGTTACCGCGTCAACAGTGATTTGGCTTCTTTCAGCGCCACTTCATATACTGCAAAAGGTCAACAAAAATGCATTTCTGTGTAAGAATTTACCCTGTTGTACACAATACTACAACGCAATATGCTATCCAAGAAATGTGCTCAATTTCATCTCCATAATGTCTCAGCCAGTATGATAGATGGAGTTGGAATGAAAATTGAAGGGGACCAGACTGGGAAAAGTTGTATAAAGTGTGACCATTCCTTATAGTGTGTGCATACACTGCTGCATATATAATGTTTGAGTTTGAGTTTGAGTTTATTTAGATTTATATACCGCCCTTCTCTCAAAGGATTCAGGGCGGTGAACAGCCAAAGATAAAACAGATACAATATAAAATTTAAAAAACAATAGTGCACTCTCATGCTTTGATTTATACCATAATTGTACAATCTGCAGATACAAGGTTATACATGTTCCCAAAGGCTTAGACGTGACTTTACAAACCTTTCAGCTATTATTGGGCTGTATTATAATTTTTCAATGTAATGCAGAAAGGAATTTATTAAATATGAAATAAAGGAGGCGTGGAGATGATTTCTTATCAATCACAACCACTGCTATTTCTACTTAAAACATCTTAACCACAATGTGGTCTTTTTCATTCTTTCTATTTTTTACTTAAAAGTGTTTCAGTATGTAATTAAAATCTTTAGATATATATAGAATATATTTTTCCAATAGCTGGAGGACTTAAGTTGAACATTGTCTTTGTTGTCCTACTAAGTGTGCTCTGCTATCCTTGGCTGCCATTCACTCTCTGTTGTAACTAGCTCTTAGATTTTTTTTTTTTAATTCTTCAAGCATATCAAGTGTACCATAGGTCATATTGACCTCTGACTCAATTTAAACAGTCAAATGTGCCAGGTAAGCAGTTTGTGCTTACTGTATCTGGATGAAACAGATTTCACTTTGGTAGGAATGCAAATAATCTATTGTGAATGAGGCATTCTGAAATGATATCAAAAAGAAACATCAGCTGCGTGAGCCAAAAATATCTGATATCCTCAACTGACGTTATGCCTTTTATTAGGCCAACTGGATACAGAGAAAATGATTGCAGCAACTTTTAAAGTTCTCATGATTTTATTAGGCAAGGGCTAGGCATAATAAAGAAGGATTGGAAGAAAATATAACCGGTGACCAGTCACCAAGGGCTGTGTGAGTGCCTCTGGGGGCAGGTTAAGCAGTCTGGTCTACAACCTGAGCCTTTCCACTATTTTCTTTAATAATTTGCTGGTAAAAATCAAAGTCATGTGGGAATAAGTACTCATAGAATCATAGGACTGGAAGGGACCTTGGGGGTCTTTTAGTCCAACCCCCCAATTGGACTAGAGGAGGCAGGAGTCCTTATACCATCTTGGACAAATGGTTGTCCAATCTTTTCTTGAAAACCTCCAGTGATAAAGCACTCACGACTCCAAAATGCAAGCTATTCCATTAATTGTTCTCACTATGAGGAAATTCATCCTTATTTCCAGGTTGAATCTCCCTCTGATGAGCTCCCCTCCATTGCTTCTTGTCCTGTGATCCTTGACTTACAACCATAATTGGGACTGGAATTTTGGTGATTGAGCAAAGCAATCATTAAACAAGACATCACTTGACTGTTTCGCTCAACAACCACAAACCCAGCACTCCTGCCTGAAGTCAACAAGAGATCTTATGAAATAAGCAAAGGCAGTACCAGAAAGTACCAGGGTGCCTCAGTGAATGTTGGAGGAGACCCTGAGAGGCTCTGCTCAGGAGCTGAAAATCCTGTTGAAATTCAAGCAGGATTTTCAGCCCCTGAACAGAAAGACACTGGTGTGTGTCCT